GGTTCTTAAGGTAGGGTTTAGGGGTTCAAGTCAGCATGCTGGGCTTTGGTGCTTACGGGGCTTCAGTCGGCGTTTGGCTTGTCGGGCTCGTGCTTGCCTAGGTTTCCCAAGACTGCCTCGATAGTGAAGGTACCCTTTTTACCACCGGTCTGATTCAAGAACGACGCTTTAGGGTTTAGGGTTTAGGGGTTTAGGGTTTAGGGCCCCGCCTCCGCCCCAAGAAAAAGGGAATTGCTGGGAGACCTAGTCTCCAGTTTTCTATCATGCAAGACGGAGAAACGCATGAAATCCCATGGCACCTATACAACCACACAAATCCCGGCGCAAAACCTGCGCACACCTTCTCACCTATTCAGACAAGCCCTACCAACAACATTCAGAAGCCGCTGAAAACACTGACAACCCTACCCAAATGCTACTCCCTACGAAACCCTAAAACCATCAACTTAAACCCTGATTCCTAAAACCCTGGATCCTAAACCTAAAACCCTATAAGGCAAACCCTAGAACCCTAAAACCCAACAAGCCTAGAACAAACACTAAACCCTACAGCCCTAAAAAACCCTAAAACCAATGTAAACCAAGCGACTATGAAGTAAACCGTCTAAACCCTAAACCCTAAACCCATAAACCCTAAACCCTAAACCCTAAACCCATAAACCCTAAACCCATAAACCCTAAACCCTAAAACCTAAACCCTAAACCCATAAATCCTAAACCCTAAACCCCTAAACCCTAAACCGCGAGCCTTCCAGGTCGGCTGCCAACTCGTCCTCCTGTGTCCACCTGAGGCCGAGCTTCGGGTTCTACAAGGATTCCTTTGAAGGGTTCCTTTAAAGGGTTCCTTTAAAGGGTCCTATAAGCTTCCCCGAGGTTTAGGGTTTATGGGTTTACTGTGTAGGGGTTCAGGGTTTAGGGGGGGGGTTAGGGTTTAGGGTTCAGACTTATGGGTTTAGTGTTTGCGGGTTTAGGGTTTCGGGTTCAAGTTTGTTTTATGGGTTTGACTTTCAGGGTTTAGGGTTAAGGGTTTAGGGTTCAGGCTTGCGGGTTAAGGGTTTCGGGTGGGTTCTATTGGGGTCTAGGCATTTGGGGTTCTGTGGGTTTGGGCTTCGGGGTTCGGGGCTGGTAGGGAACACTATTTGCCTAGACCCTACATCCTTAACTGAAGGTTTCACGTGAGTCTGGCTTGCGAGATGTTGGCTTCAGGCGGTTGCCAAAAATATCAAGAACTCACAACCAATACCACCCATTACCACCCTAAACCCAAAATCCTTAAAAGTTGCCAGCTTCTGACGCAGCTTGCTGGCGTAGTGCCACCCAGTTGCGATGGGACTGCTAGACGACAGTCCTCCGACAGTGGGCAGTGGAGTGCCGCTTACCGCGGTGCGATGGCTATGAGCTCCCCCCAAGAGGCGATGGCCCAGAGCCTTGTGGCAATGATTCTCTGGCATGTGGCAATGTGGCATTGTGGTGTCATTCGTTGTGTCAATCGCTGCGATGTGATGGCTTCGCTTGCACCTCACAGTGGCTGCGTCCCCTTTTGCTCCCCTGTCCGCTCATCAGCTCGCTAATAGGCGGCTTCTGTCGTTCAAGAGCATCTGCTCGACGACTGCATCCTAAAGGCGGTCCTCAACTTGCGAAGTCTGCGGGCCTTGGCAGAGAGAACAGGCATAACCCTCTGGATATGTTCCTCCAGGCCGGCGGGTCCAACGCGTGGCATCGGTTTTGCGTCGTGAACCTGGCTGGATGGGCGACGGAGGTGATGGAACTGCTGGATATCTTCGCTGCCTGGGCCCCTTCAAGGTTCCAAGTTGAGGGTTTAGGGTTTAGGGTTTAATGTAGGGGCCTTAATAATTAGAATACGGCTCCTTTCAAGGGTTCCTTTAAAGGGGATACTACAAGGGTTACTATAAGGGTTTAGGGTTACTTGGCGTACTTCTGAACCCCT